CATAGGGTAGAGCAGCTGATGGATTCAAACTGCCACCCTTTTGGTTAGCAGCCAAGCTCTTAACCATTGTACCACTACGGCAGAGTAAAAAGTATTCTAGAAGCATACATAATAGTGACTTATACATATGTGATTGAGAGCATCACAAAGAGCATACATAACAGCAGGATTCCAACTAAGTGACTAGTGCAATACTGTAGGAGAGAGGTGGCCTCCTGGTTTAAGGCCATGGCAGTGGAGACAGAAACTAGGAGGAAGCCCTGTATTTAGGGAGTACTGAGAAACTGCCACTTGCCAAGGACTTTGCTAAGTACAGTGCTGTAAGTTCTACCAATTGTTTAATTTGCAATGAAAGGAGTAGGAGGTGGGCTTCAAAACAGAACAAGGAGCAATCCACATTCAATCCTATTCTAGAATCCTTTATATTGTCTGTGCAGATTACTATGTCTTTTGTTCTTTGGTATTCTATGAGTATTATTATATTGTTTTTATTTGTGACTAGAATTCCCCCAGGGTTATGATATAAAAGTAGTCCTAGCCATCATGGAGCGTTAGAATCTATAAATCAAGTATAAAAAGACAAACACCTAGAAACACAGAAAACAATCTACAAATCCACACTGCATAGCGAAGGCTATTTTCATTCTTGCTTTTTTTCCCCCTCCTTGTTACTCGTTAATGAAGAGTAGGTAACTAGAGTCTTGAGGAAAGCGTCCTTTATTTTCATACCCCTTGAAACTGTACTTTATTGTGAGATGATGTTCTGCTCCTGTAGATGAGATGTACCAATGTCGTTTATTCATCCAACACATATTTATTGAGCACCTATTAGGTACTTGTTGTAAAGCAATGGACAAAACAGATATTATCCCAGTGTATCATGGAGCCTATATTCTAGAAGATAAAATAAAAGGAAATACTGAATTGTCATGTTGGAAGATGGTAGAAGTATTTTTTGTATGTCAAGCCCTTTTTGGAATAAAATGGTAGTGTAGATAAATAAAACAATGTATTTGTAGGCTCAGATATCTTTCTGATTTATAATATCCTTTGATATTTATGAGAGATTTGTATGCTCAGATATCTTTTATGATTTCATATTTTATGGGAGATAGTATACAGGTGGTTAAGAACAAGGATGCTGGAGCCAGACTGACTGGGTTAAAATCTCAGCTCTGCTGCTTATAAGCTGTATGACCTTGGGGAAGTTTCTTACCCATCTTGTGCCTCAGTTTCCCCATATATAAAAAGGAGTAATAGAATAAAATCCACGGTTTGTTGTGAGGATTACATGAGGTAAAACATGAAAACTGCTGAAAACACAGTACATTATCTATCATTACCTCTTGTTATGTGGCACTAGATTTATTTTGTGACTCTCCTACCAACTCACAAAGATTATTTACCTCTTTTTAAATAATTTATTTTATTTTTGTTGTTGATAATATACACAGCAAACATACACCAATTCAACTATTTCTGCATGTACAATTCAGTAACATTGATGACAGTCTTCAAGTTGCAACGATTCTCACCCTCCTTTTCTGAGTTATTCCTCTCCGTTAACATAAACTCACTGTCCCCTAAGTTTCCTATCTAATCTTTCTAGTTGCTGTTAATTTGATCCCATATAGATGGATCTTGAAAGAGCACAATGCTTAAGGCAGACATTCTTTACTAGTTAATCTAAACTATTGTTTGGTTTTAAGAAGACTTCAGGGGTATTTTTGGTTTAAGGTTTAAAGATTATCTGAAGGCAGTAGTTTCAGGGGTTCATCTAGCCTCCATGGCTCCAGAAAATCTGAAATCCATGAGAATTTGAAATTCTGTTCTGCATTTTCCCTCTTATGATCAGAATTCTTCTATAGAATCTGATCAAAATGTTCAGGCACCATCCAGTTCTGGTCTCATGGCAAAGGAGGCAGTTGTTTATGGAAGCAGTTAGCCACACATTCCATTTCCTCCTCCTATTCCTGATTCTCCTTCTTCCTCTGTTGTTCCAGGTGAATAGAGATCAGTTGTTGTGCCTTGGATGGCTGCTTGCAAGCTTTTAAGACCCCAAAGATTATGCAGTGAACTAGGAGGTAGAACAGAAGCACTAAACTTCAATTAACTGGGAAATCCCATGAAACCATGACCCTAAACCTTCGAACCAAGGAACCAAATCCCATGAAGTGTTTGATTTTACGTAAGCAGCCTCAGAAGCTAC